GTCCACGGGGGTTTTCGCGCCAACACTTACTACCCATACTTCGACCGCCATTATCATCTAAGTTTGGCGCTAAACTACCCATACCAGGTCCCGTTTCTTCACCCTATGGCTGTACGAGCCCTTTCTACTCCTATCAAGAACAAGCAGCCGCAATGCGCAACTGGTTCTCAAAAGGTGAACTTTATTCCGTAATCCACATTGAGACAGCGCCAAGGGATTCGCGACGGCGCGTGCCTGAAACACGAGCCCCCACTTTCCCCATCCCTTTTTGATTGCAGAGCCGACTTTGAAGGGGTGCGAATCTGTCTTGTGCGACCAATCCTCCAGTCACCTTACCTCGAAATAGTGCACCGACTTGGCGTTCAGCAGCGAGAATAACCAAATCCACGCCCCTTGCCCCGGCGATAAAGAATGAGACATACATGAAACCAGGCGCCAATATAACACTTCCCTCACTGCCGTCAAACATCGACGCACGATTCAGTCTGATCATCCCCCTTAAATCGCGTTTACTAATACAGCGTCCCAGCGGCGGTCGATCAAATGGCTTTCCGTCATCAGATATCATTAATAGTTATCCCTAATGTGCTTTAAACCTTTTGTCTCCTAGGGTCAAGCTTTTGTTTTAAAGAAGAAAGTCACGAGCATTTCCATAATCCCGCCAAATGAACCGGGGTACTTTTTGGCAACAGTCCCTTCAACTTCTTCACCGGAACGCGGTTGCGCACAGTGCGAGCACGGAAATACCAGCCCGAATCCGACAGAGGAAAACTTCCTAAAGGTGGTTATCATATTAGGAGGCGAGAGACTGCGAGGCGAAGGGTAATATTTCCGTCAATATATGGTTACCATCAATATATGGTTACCATCAACAAGGAGGTACCTAAACTAAACTAGATAATTGTGAGTACAATGAAGATGCGTGAGCATAATGAACGAAACTCACGCGATTTTGTATATGATCAATGACTTCCGAACCACAACTAGATAAAAGGCGCAACTATGCATCCTCCAAGGCGGCAGCGTGGCCGAAAAAGCTGCCCGGGGCCCAATTCTGGCAACAATAACCCAAAGGAGGATGGCGCTGAACTTTGCCTTCCGAAAACGTGAAACACCTAAAAACTGGGAATCTAGGGACCATATATAGTGCCTACACAGGTTCAAGGGCTGTGCTCAGGCAACGCAAAGGTGTGCTTCGGATTGTCCAGCCACGGCTCAGTCATGGCTCAAGGCAAATGGCGGGATGCTCAGGTCTGGGAATAGAAATGGACTTTGGAGAGCTCAAGGCAGCCATGAAAATCGAGCCTGAGGTTGAGGACAACCTTTGTAAAATATACCGATGTGTACCTGAATTACAAACGAACAATCTTGTTAGCCCATCTTCATCTATCAAGTGAGTGCGACATTGATGGCAACTTCAACTGAGCGACGGCAAATCCTCTACCTTCAGAGATGATAACAGAACGAACCCCTAGCTTCAGCGATAGTAGTACTCCAGCACGGCAACTCGCAGACTAGAGGCTGTCTCACATTTTCTCAATTTCTCAACCTTAAAAGGTTTTCGGCACTCTTCCTTATTTTCAACTCGTGAATAATCTGTCGTGGTTTCGACTTCAGTCCTGCTCGAGCAACCATGTGTGACTACCCCACGATTCTTCAGCCTGTTCACCGACACTAACCGTACGCTTAGAATATATGTTTCTACAGACATTTCCTGCCCCAGACGGAGTCACATTAACGCCAACAAGCAGTTCTAATTGCCTTTCGACTGAGGCCAGCCAAGGGGTCCTATCGAATTTGCTCGGCTCAAAATCGGAAGTTCAGCTTCTAGAACATGTCCCCAGGTCACAAGCAAACTCTCACGGCTCGTGCCCAAAAGATATGAGGGGAGCTGTCCGACAAAGTTGGCCAGCTCCTCAACCCTCGCTCGAGAAGCTATTCCAACCTGTAATTTTTCTTCCGAATGGTAGCATTCTTTGCGTCCAACAATATTCTAGAGGATAGTCGTACGGACGTCTTTCTGAAGTTGGTCACTGATCCGAAATACACCGACTATCTAGAACGATTGCTCCAGATCAATGCACCAACAACCCATGCTCTGCCCATACATATTCTCAAGTCAGCTGTTCAAATTAAAAACATCAGATTTCTGACCGCACTCCTAGATGATGGCGTTAAGTTTGACAGCATCTTAGAAGACATACTCTCCATAGGTGATATGGACTTTACGAAGCTGGTTTTCTCCTGAGTTGACCCAACCTACTACAGAGGAACAAATGGGTCAAGTTATCCCATCGCCTTTTTAGAGATAATAACTTTGAGCTGGCTCAAATGCTTGTCGAAAACGGAGTATCCGTGGACAGCTAGTCAGCTAACGTAACTCTTCTTTAAGACGCGGGCATCCCGCGGAATGGTTCGTCACCTCAAATTTCCACTCGATCTTGGCGCCAACGTCAAATACAGTTGTATATGTAAACGAAACAAAAGCACTCCTCTAAAGGAAAGGATCGGGTCCGTTGCTGTAGGTGTCACTATTGGAGACTCAGTCGATACAGCGAAACAAAGCAGTCATTCCCTTCATACATACATACATAGTCACCGAGGATGGATTACAAAACATCAATTCGAGCGGGCGCCAGCCCAGACTACCACATCTTGAACAGAAGACCTCTTTGGACCGCTTTGGATCTACAACGGCCTCGCCAGGTTTGCGACCTCCTGAAAGGGTTGAAAGCGAAAGTTAACGTGCCTGGTATGTTCAGGAAAGTTATGTAGAAGAGTGACTTTCAACTTCTACAAACATTCGTGAATTCTGGGGTAAATCTTGAGGAGTGAGGCATGGAAGCCTTGATCGCATCAACTGTGGCAGAACTGCACACCTCGGCGGCAAGGACGTGAATAAGTGCTGGCGCACGTTGGCTCGTGGCCTGAGCGGTCTGACCTCAACGAACAGAGCGGTTTCGGGTTGCATGAACTCAGATTCATCCGATAGTACGAGCGACAGAAGTATATCCAAGCCTGCTCTGACGAAATCGAGTGCTATCCTCACCATCCCACAGGCGACAAGAGTGCATCACATACCGAAGAAACCAATCAAAATGGGCTCAGCAGCAAGAACGGCGAGCGTGACCAGGAGCACACTCCGCCGGAGCGATATGTCGCTCAGGCAGTGTCTGAAGACGTTCGGTTCGCGGGAAAAGGATCTTGAAACGCTGATCCTTCCGGCCCTGGAGCCCCGACGATTGAGAGAGTGCAAGCAGACCATATCGAAATTTGAACAAACTCTTGGGTTCTTCGCTTCAGCTGGGATACTTCCCATTCTTTTGACTGGGGACGTTGATGGCAGCGATATAGAGTAGCTTTACACCGTGACAGTGCTGATTGAAAATCTGGAATGAAGCGAAAGATGGGGATTTGTGACGTATCCTTGACGAGGGACATCTAGACACGATCTCGCTGATGAACGACTTCGCAAAGACAGCTGGAGACCAAGAGCAACTTCATAAGGCAATGATATTATCAGAGATTGCCGTAAAAGGAACGACAAAAATCAGTGTTCTCAACATGGTACGGCGACTGCAAATTGCCAACTCTCTTATTTTCACTACTGCCACCACTTCTCCGCACGACCTATTGCCTTAGCATCTTCCCGGAGCCAGGAAATCTGAAATCTGAACTTCCTGCTATGACCTTGAGCATTTGTGAGAGACGGATTGAGTAGGCAGCGGGTGAAGGGGAGATAAGAATACGTCCCCATAATCCTTACCACTATGGCGTGAGTTGAGACCACTGGCCCGTAGCGTACAGGCGGTAAGGCAATGGCAGTGCGGCAGTGATAAGGATGCGAGAAAGAGAGGTGGGAGATGGAGGGGACATGTTCTATGAAGGACCTCTTAGAACTTAATCATGTTTTCTTTACGACCGAGGCAGCATGCTGTGTTGATAACAGCGTTCTGCAGTATGCACTTATTCTGATCGATCCCGCACCAAATACCTCTAGACACTTGCGGGTTGGGCCGCTGTCTTCTGAGAGGTTTAATTCCATATATCTAGCTGGTCCCCTTTGTACCCGTGAGCTTGTTGAGCTGCCTAGAGCTCGTTCGACACACTCTACGTGGTCTGAGGGGTAATTCCGTTAGCACCAATAGATGGCAACAGCTATGGGAGCATACGTCACTCGCTACTTGCTATGAAGGACAATGCAAAAACCCTCGGCTAACCTGCCTGAATTCAGAATTCTACCACCCACTTCTGCCATTCGTCTCATCGTTTCTTGGCAAGACACGTGCGTGTAAGACTATCGGATTTTTCATATATTGATTTATCTAGTTTGGAGTCAACAAATGCGATGCGGCTATAGCTCAGGTAAAATACCATCAATCTAGAGGTCGTCTCATTTGCTAACCCCTTCAAGCTGGGAGAGCGTCGTAAGTGAAAATCGTTACATTTACTTGTCATTTAACTAATGCCAGATCAGAGACTGAAGTTCAACTTCGGTTCAGTCTATCTGAAGGTCCTGTGTTCGATCCACAGTGGCCGCAACTTTTTTCGCTTTCTTTTTTCCCATTTGGTTTGCATTCAGATTTAGTCCAGCCAGTGAATCCTATATCAAATCCACTTGTCTCACATTGAAACTCAGCAGCTACCCCTAATGGTAATATTAAAGACGTAGTATATGCTTAGACATCGGCGCATAGAATGCACCATCGGGTTGTTATAATGAGACGTCGTACAATGCATCAATCTGAATGCGCAGTGAAAACCGGCGAGCCGGATAAGCCAATGTTTTCCTTCTCCAATTGATGAAGTGGTCTATGCACTACCGAATGTCAACCGAGCCGCAAGTCTTCCAAACTCTGGCGGCACCGCTCACAATGTTTCCCCATTCAATTTAATATTTCGCCTACGTTGCACGCCATGAGGAGGCTCTACGCCTGCAACTCTTCCATTCCCATTTCCGTTAACATTCCTCCCCCCCCTGTCTGTGTGCATTTGATATCATGCATACCTATTCACCTTTCGTAGCTTCAGCTGAGTGCCTCGAGCCCGAAACCAAGCGTGATACAGTGAGTCTTGTGTATGAGAATCTTTCCAACTTCCGCGCCTCCAAGATAAACAAGAGACAGAGAACTCTCCAAGCTGCTGGCAATCCCGGTACTTCTCATAACTTTGCCACCGAGGCCGACGAAGCAACACCTCGAAAACGCAAGAGACCCAAGTGTTCGACAGCTGACGCCAAACAAAGCCGTCCCTCCAACAATTTTAACTCCGACCAGCGATTAAACTCAGTCCTTGAAGATGCCGCGGGCCTGGAAGTACCTTCGGAAGAGAGAAGTATCTAAGGCTCAGATATCGCACTACAATTCGCTATAGAACTGGTATCGAAGCTTGATGAGAAAGAGCTGGTTCCATATATTCATTTTCTCAAAAAGGAAGACACGGACCATGGGACAACGAACCAGCGACGACTCCTAGCCGATGAGATCGAGTGCTTCCGTACCCAAGAGGCAGGCTTTACCAGAGAAGACACGCATGGAATTGCACAACCTGCGGGGAATCCGGACTACGGCCTTGGACTAATCCTGCACTGTCAGTATAGAGATGGTGGAGTTACCGAGTTCTGAGGCGAGGGCAGCCAGAGCATTCACCTGCTTTCCAAAAATGGCTTGGGCCCGGACGTCCTCTTTGCATACGATTGGCATTGGAGAAGAGAGGGGAGGGCACGATGACGTAAATAGACTTGTCCTGCTTCACGTTGGAAGAAGAAAAGCTCTAGTTGCATAACCAAATGTCTCACTGTCGTCTAGAGATCTTGCCACTCCCTTTCCTGAATATGAGCGGCCGTTGCGCAAAGGGGCATTACCAAGAATACAGAAAGCTTTTGGTTAAAGGCCTCAACGTCAAACTCAGAGGTGACGTCTCAATCACCCTCAAAATCGTTTCAAAGACCGGAATGCGCGGCGCATAAAACCCTTTGTTGACCACCCGTTGCCACAACCCGAATACAGCTGCACAATACTCTCCACGGTCGGACGCTGCTCTGAACTTCATGATGTGGCTATTAGCACTCCCGCACGACGAGATGTCTTTCACCGAGACGGGAGCAAATTTCGAAAGGGTATGCTAGGGAGTGCTCTACTTAAAGAATTGCACGAGTACGTGAAAATGGAAGCAGCCTCAAGAGAACACTCACAGTCCTTGAATATGATTCCCCCTTCCTGAAGGGGGCTGGTACAACGCTATAAGAGGATGTTTCCAACAGGATTGATGCAGGCCAGTCAGTGGCCAGCGCTCTTCGTACCAAAATCAATGACAACATTTCAAAGAGTTTGCAGCAGTCGGGGACATTCGCTGCAGCTAATTGCCGCCGAGGTTGCGACCGAAGGTGGGTTCGAATTCAAAGAACTTTGGGATAGAGAGGAGGCCACACTAACGGCAAAAAGAGTATATCTCACGGCACTTATCGGAAGAAACGTGCCCTCAAATTCTGGTTCCCTTCAAGGCTAGGGGAAAATGGTCCAGCTGCACAAGCAAACAATGAAGAGACAGTCATATTCTTCACTAAGACTAGGTGGAATTGAAACTCGGGAAAGATTTGATTGCCAACCTCCCCATTGACGAGCTACGGAAAGAGCAAGGATTTAGACAAGAAGGGGTCGATCGGCGTCACATGGAGCTTGCTCGGAAAGGAGAACTGAAGAGGAAACAAACCGGCAAGTTTGAATCAATAGGTATGACGAACAGTTGAAACTTGCTTTGATGGGGATATGAAGAATTACCGTGGTCTGTTCGCCCGAGGTAAATGCCGCACATTCAATGCACGAAATCGTTCACTCAAATGTTTTGAGGACACCAGGGGGGACATTCCTATGTGCAGCAGTCGGTCCAAATATATCGAAGACCGTCGCGGAGCGCCTGACTACTGGAGTAATAAATCTTTGCGTGGCCTTGTTTCTTCGTTGGGTAGCTGGCCTTTGCATCCTCCAACAGAACTTTACCCTTTCCCCAAGTGTGAGAGATGATTGCATGCGGGGAATCTTATCATCACCAAAGGATTCCAGCTCTAGAGTCTGAGCGTTCATCAGGCGCATTTCGAGATTGGTGTAGTGAAACGTGCATAAACAGCCTAAGAAAAGTCGGGAATCGTGCTGAGCCTCCGGTGTTCAACGTGCTCCAGCTGAGACGAGAGCTAGTTGGACGTATATGAACATTTTCGACTAGTCGCTGAAGTCTTGCAACTGGCCGCGAAAAGTCGACGTTGTGATGAAGTAGGAAGAAAGACGACAGCGCATCCAATTCAGGTGCATGGCAAGGCTGAAGCAGCCCCAGTGCGCTCATGGGTCGCAAGGCAGACCCTCCACTGCTTGGAGCCCACCTTGCCTTACATGGACTAGGGTAGCTGCCCCTCTTCCTCACCTAGGCTTGATGCAAGTTTGGCGAGGGAAAGACGCGATGAGGGTACAGGCTTGCGACTCCCCAACCTAATTTCACCCTCCATCCATATACGAAGACGAGTTGTCAGTCTGACAGCTAATCTTTCCAGCTTCAGACGATGGCGCAATTTTAGCGGCGAATGCAATATCAAGTTTGAGGCGACTTGAAGGACGACAAAATGGCGCGATTAAGCTTGGGATCACCTCTTGAAGAGGAACCCTTCGAATATATCTGTTTCTGCTTATCGCCTGACCTTGCGATTACATGCTCAACTTGTAGTTGCTCAGCTGATTTCTACGGTCGCTCCATCTCGGCAGAACCCTCTAGCAGAACGGGTGAGGTATTGTACAAGCCAGCTGGGTTTGTGTTTGTTTTCTCCTTTACATCCGACTGCCACGGCTTGTTTGAGGGCTCACCAGGCAGATCAAACACGCGCCAATCCCTCAAGGAGACCAATTTTCTCTCCTCGCTTCCGCAGAAGGAAACAAAATGTCATCTACCCCCAAGAAAGTGGACGCAGTCGTGGTCGGTGGAGGGTTTGGCGGTATCCGTCTTGTCAGTCTTCTTCAGGACAAGCTTCATTTTCAGAACATTGTCGCAATTGAGAAAGGCAGCGCTTTGGGAGGGACCTGGTACTGGAACCAGTATCCTGGATCCCAGACTGACACTGAGAGCTGGGTCTATCGCTTCTCCGACGACCGTGACCCGCCTAAATGGAACACACGATATCTGAAGGCTGAGGATCTCCAAAAGCAAATCGTTGACACGGCTGAGAAGTCCAACGTCTTGAAGAACTATATCTTCGAGAACGAAGTCGTCTCGGCACATTACCATGCGGCTGACAACCGCTGGCTTATTGCGACGGACAAAGGACTCCAATTTTCCGCAACTTACTTTCTCACTGCCCTTGGGATCCTCACTAACCCTTACATTCCGGCTTTTCCCGGGGTCGACTCCTTTCAGGGTCTCTCCTTTCATTCTGCCAGGTGGCCTAAAGGTCTCGACGTAACAGGAAAACGTATCGCCGTTATTGGCACTGGCCCGTCCGGCAGCCAGATAACAGGGACCATCCATCCTCTCGTGAAGCAGATTACAGTTTTCCAGCAGCGAGCTCAGTATATCGTCCCTGTCAATGATCGCCCGGTGACCGAGGAAGAGAAGAGGGACATCTACGAGAACTACGACAAGATCTGGGACACTGTGTTCAATTCGCTTTTTGCAATGGGCTTTGCAGAGAGTAAGAAATCAGCGCTCGAAGTGTCGGAAGCAGAGCGGAGGGAAGTATATGAGCGCATCTGGAACAAAGGGGGCGGGTTCCGGTTCTTCTTCGAGACCTTCAACGATCTCGGAACAAATGTGGATGCGAACGAGACTGCAGCAGCATTTGTTCGGGAAAAGATCGCCCAAATTGTCAAAGATCCTGAAACTGCGAAACTGCTCCAGCCCAAGGGACATTATGGCGGCCGGCCGCTTTGCACACAAGGTTATTATGAAGCATTCAATGAGCCTAACGTCTCTCTTGTTGACATCTCCACCAATCCTATCGCCAAGATCACTCCCACTGGGTTGGAACTTCAAGACGGGAAGACGTTTGAATTTGACATCATTGTGTACGCCACCGGGTTTGATGGAGTGGACGGCGCCTACCACAACATTGACATTACCGGGCGTAACGGACTCACATTGGCAGACGCGTGGAAGGGGGGCGCGAACGCTCTGTATGGCGTCAGCGTCTCCGAGTTCCCCAACTTTTTCACAGTTACAGGGCCCGGAGGACCCTTCGCAAACATGCTTCCGTCAATTGAGTTGCAAGGGGATTTCATCGTCAAGCTCATCCAAGAAGCAAGCAGGAGAGGGGACAAAACCGTGGAGGCGGACGCTAAGGCCCAGGCAGAGTGGGCTCAAACCGTCCAGCAGATCTCCAAGGCGACTGTTTTCGATAAAGTGAAATCCTGGATCCAGAATGATAATGTGCAAGGAAAGAAGAAATACAGTGCCTTTTTCTTGGCCGGCCTGCAGAATTATATCGCCAAGTTGGGTGAGGAGACGGAGGGAAGGTATCCTTCGTTCGTGTTTGCGAGGTAAAGTGAAGCCAAAGATAGAATTGTTGCCGACATGGTTGAGTTGAAGCAAACAGAGCGAGGAGGAAACCCTTAGAACGATTTCGTATTCTGGAAGGTCGCTAGTAGTATTCGTATCAGGGCTACGCACGCCACGAAAATGAATCCCCGATGCGTTAGAATGCGAACGACCCTCGAAGCATACCTTGATGCCTTTGAGATGTCATGGAAGAATAGATTATACCGCGATGCCTGATTGCGTTGACGTTGTATGTTTGTGAGTTGAGACATTAGATTGGAGGGCAGAGGAGGCTCGGTCCGCTGGTCTTGATACCGGGCGGGCCACCAGGGAGCCGATTCAACACACGGATTAGCATCTCAGTCCACCAGATGATGCCAGCCTCACCTTACAATTCATTCTTCACACTCCTCCGTACTCTATACATGATGAAAGGACCAATTATTCTCCCTATTTCAATAGATTCCACGAACATAGATTACATGACAAAAAAGCCTTCTTGCTGAATCTTGTTACTACCCCTACTCCCCCAGGGATACCAGATCTCGCATATGGGAGATGTGTCCGGACGGCGACTTCGACCTCGGTGGGGGCGGTTTGAAAGATACCGAGTACAAGGTCTGTCAGATTCAAGCCAGTCATCTACTGTCGGGTGCGTGCCTGCGCGCCGCTGGCTGCCGACGGACTAGAAGAACTATATCTAGGGAGACCGGCTGGGGAAAGGCAGCATGATCGGGGTATGACGAGAGAAGGAGGGAGACTCGACGACATTCATATCATGGCAGCAATGTGCGAAAAAGGAGGAAATTGTGTGTGGATTACAATCATCCAAAAAGCCCGAGAGCAGGAATTCGGACTGAAGGACCTGAAGAGCGTGTGCTATTATTCATCCAACCGCCACCTAGGTCACAAGGGCGAGCTCTGAACTCGAATATTCCCTCTTGCTGTCCAACTAGCCTGCACAAAGTTGTTGCCAGGCCTGGTAACCCATATATGCCAGGTAGGTCGACATGGCTGGGGCAAGCATTCCAAGTACGATAGCTATCTGCACTTCCACCAGAGTCGCAGCATAGCATGCCTCGCTACTTACCAAGGAACGAATGTGGCTTTAGGTTTTGAGACTCGTCGTATAGCTCGCCGAGTCGAGCACCGAAAGTAGTAGGACGAAATATCCTTCTCTTCAGGCCTGAGGATCGATTTGGATTCAAAACGAAGGCAATCCGGATCGAAAGCAGACCTCGACACCAGTGTCTGTAGTAGGGCGTACGATTTCGGTTCAGCGAGCAGGAAAAGGACCTTTTGGACCGAGTCCAGTGCATCAAGTACGAGTTGACGGGGTAGTGCGTGATTGACAGGATATCAGAGATCGAACGCAAATATTCATTTCCTCCAGGTTGCGAAGCACCGTTCCAAATGCCACGCATACTTACAATGTTGGCTGCTACCCGGACACAAATCGGCAGGACAGTCTCTGGTGAGTCTGAGTTGTTCCTTCAAGAACGCCGTATGATGACATATATTCACGGTTCTGGTTGTCCGGTCAAGTTGAAGGTGACATCCCAGATCGCCTGTCGGTTGAAATTTCAATTTTGCGCGCTCCTTCAACTTCCTTGCAGTAACTCCTATCTTTAACTCGCACGCTTCTCTAAATTCATCGCCATTACTATTAGGGTAGTCAGTCTATGGAAGTAGTAGGGACAGAAATTGGATATGGGTCAGATCATTTCCCTGGTAATGGCGAAATAGCCCATGCTCTAGGGTTCCACGATCTTGGTGCGGTACAGAGCAACTGATCATCGCTGACACATGGATATCAAGGTCGAAGGCTCGGTCCTACTCCGCGAAAGGAGGAGAGCCCTGGTCTAGTCTGGCGAAGAAAATGCTCTCTCTCAGCTTAGAGCGAGAGGAGAGACTTAGATTTTACTATCGTGTCGTGATGATACTTCGTAGATCTTAATGCTTTGTTAGAATGTCATCAGTGTCTACTCTGTGCATTTCGGTCCATACTCAATAGTAGTCGAAAAAGGAAACCAGACGCTTCATGGTGGTATTTGGAACGCTTCCAAGAGAATATGTGCGATGGTTGGTACAGTTTTCGCACAGTTACCATCTCCAGAGCCACATCACAAGCTGGGTCAAGTCTTCATCTGTGGGCGCAGCAAGTAACCAAGAATTAGGGATTGCCATCGCACCTCCACAACGTTCAAGCAAGGTCCAAATGAGTTTGTGCATGTCGCTGCACCGAGACGAGTATCACATGATACCAGTCACATGCAGAGCGGGCCCGGATTTAGTCAGTGTAGGACCAGTCGCTCATCTAGCCCTTTTGCACCCAAATGGCTTCTGAACGTATGTGGAGACAAGAGCTGATGTTCTCTCACCGATCGATCTGGACCAGCGTGGCTGAGGCGCGGGTGTTTTCCATCAAGGCTGGCAGCCTGAGCGGCTGCGAATGATTGACGAACGGACCTGACGCCTCCGCTAATGGCCGGATCAGTTCTAGAGAATCCATCACACGAAAGTGACCTCCAGAAATGGCGGACATGGAGGCCGTGGGAGCGACCTCGATCTAAGCTGGACGCTTACATACGTACATACAAACTTGCATGTGCACCACGTCGCTGGCAAAGTTGGCGACGCAATCCCTGATCCTACGGAAGACCCAATTAAACAACCCGCTTCAAGCTTCAGAGATCTGGTCAGACCTTTAGGAAAGCTTGAAGTGGCCCACGACTCGTTGGACGCAGGAGAGTCGAGCAGAACATCTGAGTCCCGTCTGAGCGGAGTCCAAGCCCCGTTCGAGCACGCATTCCCTACACCATTCGGCATCTCCGCCTTCAACGCATACCGCTCCCACCAGTCCACATCAGCCTCACGGCGCTGGCGTCAGCATCTGATGGTCTCAGCTGGCCGGGGATCGGAAAACTCATAAGCTTCCATGAATAGAGTGGCAAAAGTAGCGCATATCTGGACTGGACTCTGATAGAGCTTGAAGACGAGACACTGTATCTGCCAAACGAGCTCCTGTGACAAATGTCTGACGCTATCAGCCACATAAGTCACCTCTAACACTGCTTCCAGTCGAGGTTTTGACAGCGAGAAACCACACCTGCGTGGGAAGAAGACAAATTGTGCCTGCTCAATGGACGGAAGCCTATGATGGGAGTTCTCAGCAAAGAGCCTGCATTCAAACTACTAGGCCCCCGCAAAGGATTGATAGAAGCGTTCACCATAAGTTTGGCCGACGGACAAGGTAAACGTCCATACGCACTCGCAGGTTTCTTGCTAGTCAAGCTGATACAGTTCTGACCAAAGGAGACAGCGAGACTTGGGTAAAGGCGTTAACAATTTCTTGTTCCATGGACATGTGATCGGCATAGATGTCTTTGGGAACGCGTACATGGTTCTAAGTTACGAATCGTCCTGGGACATGCGCGATCGCCTCAGTGCACTTTCGGTTTCGCTCCAGGAAAACACAAGGGGAGTATACCCGGTTTCTCTGTACCTAATCTTGAAGCCGCCATCCCTCTAACGCGCGACCTCCTTTCTAGTGCGTACACGGCGAGGACGCTACATATCGAAGACTTATAAGGTCAACAGCTCCGTGACTGCTCTGTCTACTCGAGTCGCAATTCAAGTTTGATCGACTCCGCTTACAGTTCAAGGAGTGGATCAAGGCGAACCTCCCGGAACCATGGTCGTTGAAACGCCAATGCACCTCATCCAGTGGTGCAATGCCACCCTTGAAGCACCAACACCAATACAAGACTTCAGCCTTGCGCAGCATTTCCAGTTCTAGGAGTCGACCATCATGTCATTTGCTGGTGTGGCATCCAAGCTGTTTGAACACTTTCAACAAGGTGACATCGGTCTCTAGGAAGATATATATATATATATAGATCAAGTCATGTCCTCAAGACCTGTGAAGGAGCCTGCAGATTTGACGAATCTACATTCGCCCATCCGTCTGCGCCCTGCTTGAGAGCGTTCATTGCCGTTTCTGGCTCGGTTTTTGGGTACCTGTATCGAATGATTCGAGACGCTTCAGTCCCTAGACAATCTAGTACATACTTTCTAGATTGGGTGTTTGGTCGCGCTAGTAGGGGCCAATGCACGATGACAATCGCAAGGATGACGAGGGAGAGAGGCGTTCCGGTGTAGCAAGAGTTTGATCGGAGTTTTATCATCCCACTGTCCATCTCGAAGAGGGTCTTTCTATCCCATTGCCAGTACGAGGGTGACGTCTAATGGACCTTGAGATGTTATGCAGCAGGCAACCATGTATCACCCGGCTGACCGAGATGGATAATCTTTTCGACAAAGTCTAGAGGGTCTTGGGAAATGGAGGCCTAAAGTGTGCTTGTTGGTGTATAAGAGACGGAGCACTAGATAGCTTCTTCCGCATGTGCAAGCTGTGAAAGGAGGGCTGTTTAAAGGTTTGCATCAGCGATGACATGCTCACATGCGGCCTGCGCAGTTTGCGGCCTTCTGAGTCCCATCTTAGTAAAGTTGGTGCATTCTCTGATGACGGAAGAAAATGCGACAGACTGCAAGCTGTAGCATCAAAGACCCCTCCGAGCTCTGAAAAGAATCATGTACCCAGCTTTTCCTCATTCGTGGGATGTCAAAACTTGCACCCGAGGTCTGCCTCTCATGTGTTGTGCGTGTTGTGCGTGTGCATCTCTCGTATTTCCTGAATGCCAGGGTCGATGGGCATAATGCCACGAGCGAGTGAGCGTGCAAGAAGAATGTGACCAGCGTTTATCGCCTGATACGGCTGCAAAGCTGAAGAATACCTCAAATGTCCTTGGCACGATTCTTTTTCTTTTTCCTTGATGTCCTTGAGGAAAGGGCATTTGACTCGCAGACGAAGCCTTTCCTAAGTCGAAACAAACTCTTCGATTAAGCCTCCTTCGCCTCCCTCACTGTTCGTTCACCATGCATGGCTCCCTCTTCAGCTTCTTCGCAGGCGCGTCTCCTCCTTTCTCTTTCTTCTTCTGTTTGTCTCGGGCCGACTCCGAGCTCGAGTTATTTTCCTGCTTCTTCTTTCCCCTCTTCTTTGGCGTCTTCGGCGCTTCAACAGGAGTACTTGCCAGTTTGTCCTGTGCAGCTTCCAACATGCTGGCAAGTCTGCCCATCACGTCCCAATGGAAGCGCGGGTCACATGTTATGATCTGCTGGAAGGTCGCGTCAGTGCGGTATGAGAGGAAGTATTTGCTTGCGGTTTCGGCGAGAATTTTCCACAGTTCTGGGTGTCGTGTTTCCGAGATAGTGCATTTGGCGGCGGGTTGTTACCAGTTACACCAGTGGCGGAAGCGTCAATGTTCTTGTCAGGAGGAATGCCGCCGTTGTCGCCATCCACGGGACTATCGACCGAGGAATTGGTGACAAAGAAATGAATCAAACATGGTAGCAAATCTTCCTTCACGGCGTCGAGAATTTCGCTGATCTCATAGACTGCTTTCTCACGTAGTTCCATGATGTCATATTTGTCGGCAATAAGGTACATCTTCGCGTGCAGTGATATTGGGGAAAGATTTGTCCGATCAATGTCCCCATCATTGTCGGTTTCTGTCTCGAGGGCGGGCAGAGCGTTGGAGCAAAAGTATGGAGATATCATGCCATAGTTCATAAGACTTTCTAGGTCGAATCCAGCAATGTCATATATAGCCTCGGTGTCGTATTCCTTTGTGTACCACCAAAGGATCAAGTGGGCAATGATGACCGGTTCGTCATCGTCGAGATGCACTTCGTGTCGCTTACCGTCCTGTTGAAGTGTCGAGGAGAGAGGCCTCAGTTAGTCGATTTGAAATGGATTAGAACCTCACGGTATTGAATGCACACCTCGGGCGCGCCGCTGCAGAGCTTTCCGAAGAACTCGTGGCTAGAGATAATGTGACTATGGACTGACCACCGATAGGCTTTCACGATGATATCGAAGTCAGGTTGACGCTCCTTCTTAAGGAAAGAGGCGAAGCTGTAATTACCTTTGAGAGGTCGACGGATCAGGGATGGGAAGTAACGGGCTTGCCAGGTACGTACGTCTTTAGGTCGCTTTCTGGGGCCGCCATGTCGACAAGCTCGACTCCACCTACAACCTCTCCTCGTATGGCTGGCGTGTGGGATCGATCAAAATGTGTTCATGGATGTTCAGTCCAAATGACTGGAATGTCACAAAGAGGGGAGGATGAAAACGAGAGAAATGGTTGAGATACGGAAGATAGGTTAAATACGAGCAAAAAAAAAGGGAAAAGGAAAAGAGCCTTTGTTTCAAGTCGGATTGCCGGTTTATGATGGACCAAGCGATAAAGAGCGCTGATGTATAAAATCAAGAGGAAGAGGGGCAAGATATATATCAGATTGGTGCCTTGGTGTCAAGCGAAAGTGAAGGACACAAGAAATAAAGATGCCACATGCAGCATCTGTATTGAGGGAGGTGGCCAAAATTCACTTGAGGTGTAAGTGATATGGCTGAGGAGGAGGACCTGAGAAGGCCGGGGAATTGGAGAAAAATAGAAAATAGCTCGAAGATATTGATCTGTGAGAAAAGTGCGAAAACATGTATGCACACTTCTAGTCTGCCATTCCTGAATCTCTTAGACAAGGCAGGTCTGAAATAGGTATGCCACTGAACTCGGTGGAGGGACATCCATAGCGAGCATCAGCCCGAAAGCAGAGCTTGCTGGGAAGAGTATCTGGCCACCAAGCCTCGATCTCGCGCGGAAGAAATGCTCCGTGGCACTTCGTGACTTGTGATCTCCGACCATGGAGTATTGATTGCGGTCGCAGACGAAATTGCTCTGTTCTGAGTCGCGCTCTCGGAGAAGAAAGAAAAGAAAAAAGGCCAAGAAATCATTACGGGGAGTTGCTCGTCGGAATGCATTGGGTATCATTTGAGGAGTGGAATAAATATACAATGGGTGGCGGCACTTACTCTACCAAGTGTCTAGCCCTCGACAGACATCTTCAAAGTTTTAACCTGCCATCGATCGGGATCCCGCTCGACCCAGTCTTTCTGCTCCCCGAGAACACACACGGACATCAAATCCGAAGGGAGTTCCACGAGATATTTCTGGGCGACCGCTTGAACAGCCTCCTTCGTGACGCCCAGTAAGCGGTCGCGCATCTCCTGGTCCATATCCTCCGTGATGCCGTACATGAACTCCTTGCTTGCTTCACTGCTCACACTTCTAGGAGCGTCAATGCCTTGAAAGATGCTGAGTTTGCTCTCCTCAAGTTCTCGACTGCTCCAGTCTTTGTCGCGGGCATACAATCCTGCGCGCTCGAACACACTCAACGAAGTGCGAGGATTAGGATCCCGGTACGAAGACATGGTGAACAATCCACTAATGGGGCTTGCGCTAGCTGATGCACCGTATGCGCCACCCTTTTCTCGGACTTCTGGATGGAGGAAGTTGTGGACAAGGAGCTGGCCAAGCACCGTGAGTGGTGCTTTGTCTGGCGAATTATAGAGTGCAGTTTGCAGGCATGTTCCTGTATAGGAGACCTGAAATGGCAAGTCGAAGAATGTTCGCCTTGAAAATGAGGAGCCTGGTACGGTGTCTGAAAGGGCTGGATTTCTCAATGATGCTTGACCTTGCGGGAGTTGCGCAAGAAATCTCTCGATCAGGTCTCGGTTATTCTTCACCGAGCCAGGTTCACACACGACACGCACGGACAAATCGGCTGAGTTGGCGACTGCTATCGATTGAATGGTTCGCAGATTTTGGATAACCTGCTCAAGAGTTTGTGGGTCTCGTCTAGCTGCATCCAGTATGCGGGCGGTAGACTCTATTTGCGAAAGACCAGAAAGTTGATCTTGAATCCGCCCTCTCACCGTCAGGGCAGCAGAAGCGCTCATTACGGCGAAGTGGTGACCACTCTCTGCAACCGCGTCCAGCGCGCCTGATGCCTTAGATTCAAGGAGCTCGCGAATCGCGGCAATAGCCCCCGGACTGTTAAAATCGACATCCAATAACAGCGTGCGAATTAGGTCGAACATTGCTGGAACATTCCTGTCGAGCGCATATCCGTCAATCAAGAGACCTTCTTTGCATTTGTCCAGGCTCCACGGGTCGGGCGCCGCAAATGAAGAGACTGTTATGCCGCCAGTCTTCAGAAGGATTTCTGCTTCGAGGTCTCCCACGGACTTTGTTTTGGTGCCCAATCGCAGCAGTGAGTCCGTAAATAGCGGCATCAGAAGCCTCAGCTCGTTAGGCAGGTTCTCGAAAAGATACTTTGCTTGAAAATACGTGATGCCGTTCGTCTCAGTTTCACGCCACAAACAGTCCACATGACCAATTTTCAAGTGATATCGTGGTTTCCTCTCCTTCTCCCGCGCAATATCGCTAACGCTAAGAGAGGGGAGGGTGTCCAAATTTTTGTCCTGGGCCTTTTCTTGTTCCTCGACGAGTTGAAGTTCCTGTTGACCAAGCTCAGCAATGGCGGCTTCGGGTGAGCTAGCAGTCTTCTTGATGGTGTCTAGAATGGCCTTTCTCCGCTCTTCTTCCCGTGTGTCAAGGGTGACGCCATAAGATTCTGAAGGGCTCATTGTGAATTGCATGCAGTTGTCGTTCAGGAGATATTTTTGTACAAGACGCTCAAGGTGGGTTTCTTCTTTCATCCGTTGTTTGAAAGCGTCAATGATTTCGTTCCATGCCAGCGCATCCATTGGATTCACTCCGTTGAACCACCCAGGGAGAGTTTTTTCTAGTAGACCCATTCCAAAATTTGCGGTCTTGTGCTTTAAGGAAAGCTCTAGCTGATGCATATAACCTTCGATCTTGTTTGGCAGAAATGCTTGGTGAGCCTTGTCCCGCAATATCCTCTGAATGCTCTGTTTCAATCCGACAATATCATCAGCCTTCATGCCATCGAGCCCAATCGAGAACACTCCGACCCTTGTGGAGCCGTCGTAACCGGAATTTGGGCTGAAATTGGTTCCCAATCCCGATTCAATTAATCCTTGATACAGAGGAGAGCCATAGCCATTCATCAGCAATGACATCATTATGCTCGCACAAAAGGTCTCGACAATGTCTGAAGAAGGACAGCCCATCCAGGAAACGGAAGATTTGAATTGCCGGTCGGAGGGTTGCATTGTATCAACAGGGCCAGGGACCTCAAAAGATAGGGGGCCATTGGAGAAACTAATTGGCATCTTGATCTCCAAGTCCGGCGTTCCCTTTTCGAATTTTGATATGGTCTCGTTAACATACTGAAGTTGTTCTGCCAGGCTTAAACTTCCGTATGAGAATATCTTTGCATTGCTGGGATGATAGTTCTTGCGAGAGAAGTCGACGAGCCGATCGTGCGTGAGCTGAGTCATGAACTCGGGATCACCACCAGAATTGTGTAGAGAGGGTATGAGGTGTTCTCTGAACCTGATGTAAAAAAGATAGCTGGCATCCGACATCTGCCCTTTCATCTCATTATAGACAACTCCTTTGAACTTAATATTGTCCTCTGTTGGCGGCCCTCGTGGATCTTCAGGGCCAAGGCGCCATCCCTCTTGCAAGAAGTCTGAGCGTTTCAGCAGCGGATGGAGAGTTGCGTCCATGTATACCGAAGACAAATTGCGGTAGTCTTGTAGATTTGTGGTGGCGAACGGATATGAGGTGTAGTCTGAAGACGTAAATGCATTCATGAAATTGGCCAAAGATCTCGGCATCATCTTGAAGAAGGGATCCCTCACGGGATACTTGTGGCTCCCACACAGTGTGACATGCTCGAGAATATGCGGTAACCCTGTTCTATCGGTAGGATTGGTTTTGAAGTTGATTGCAAAGACATTGTTCTTGTCGTCTCGCGCAACATGGAGGTACTCTGCGCCAGTCTTGTCATGCTCCAACCTCAACGCCGTCAAGTGTAGCTCTGCGACATGCTTGATTTCCCTTAGCGTAAACCCATGTATGCTCTCTCCAGGCTTGGGATAAGCTTCCAAATCTGTCACCGACGCATACCCTCTCCTAGATAGATACGACCTGGCGCAACGAGGAATGCCCTGGCGAATGGCGCCATGCCTGAGCATCTCCCAATCGTAGGATTTACTTTCTCAAACTGCAGAAGCCGCTATCTCGAAGAGAGGATGTCTCGGGCCGGCTCACGGCGGCGCGATAGTGGGGGAGGAGAGTCGACCTGTTGTCAGCAGTTTTCTCAACGATTGCAAACGCAGGAATGGGTATGGAGCGGAAGGCAAAGCAGAAAGCAGAATTGCCTAGCCAAAAGTCGGAGTCACGTGTCCATACCATCCAACCGGCGACACTGTTGACCAATACCAATGTCGAAAGGAGGTTTTACGTTTTGATGAGAGAGGGCACAGATGAATATTACAAACATTGTGGAGGGTCAATCCAAGGCTTGCTGTGGCTAGTCGTGACACTGAATTTTGGTATATTGCGCATTTGTACAGAGTGCTTGGCCGTGAAGGAAATCCCAGATCTGCGCCGGCAGCGGCACGTCCTCCGAACGAGGTTCACCTCGATCGATCTCTTTCCACCTTGCTTGACGGTCCTATTTCCTCTTCTATGTGTCCGCATAATTTACACACAACATAGAATAGATCAGTTATCACCTTGACACACGGATTTTTCATACTCGTCGCATTCAGTGCATTTCAATTGCCCTCTGACGCCACTGTGAAAGCCTTTGTCGCAGATGTCAAGGCCGAGCATCCTAGCCGCGGGCACGAGTTTTGAAGGCTGTCGCTGGTCTTGAAGGTATATAAAGGCCACAATTCACAACCCAACACTTTCCGATCCTATGGCTACCGCAGCGCAAAGTCCGACCTCCCAAACCACGAATGGCGACACTCACGATTTGCCCCCGCCCGCACCTACAGCAAAGAAAGGCAAGGGAAAGAAGGACAAGCAACTCAGTGCCGAGGAAAATGCAAAATTAGTACAGGCGCGGCTGTCACAGCTGGAGCAGGAGAAGGCGGGCGATAAAGCTCAGCAGGCGGAGATCGACCGTGAAGTGAAGAAAGCCATCCGTGACCTCAATGAGTTGATCAACGGCGTTGAGCCTCTGAAGGGGATCGACCTCGTTAAGCAGAAATATGAGGAGCTCCTTG